CACACACACACACACACACACACACACACACACACACACACACACACCCTCCCTACACATTCGTTCAGCCTGCATGTATGGAGATAAATCAGTGTCAAAAGTGTATGAAATGTGTATGCGTACAATAAGATCCACAAGATTCACAAATGCATAAGCAGTTTTTCAAATGTACACATTTCAATGTGCACAAGTAGAAACATTCTGCACATACAGTCAAATACACGTGCACAAATCACCTGCTGTGGACAAACCAGTCAACAGGAGCTCATGGAGCAGCTGCTTGTTATTGTGACTTTTGAGACTTTCTTGCTGCTCCACATTCACAAAGCAATTGGCGCATTCAAGGCTGGTGAAAAGCTGGGACATCTGAGCCTTACCAGATTTATTGAGTTATTGTCGAGTGACTCATTTCTAACTTGGCACATGTTGGTCCCCGGCTGGGATTTGATCCGGCGGCCTTCTCGCTGAGAGGCAACAGCTCTACCAACTGCGCCACCAAATTGAATTTAAAATTTAAATGTATATTTCTCTTTGTTTTACAAGTGGTATAACGTAACCATATTTGATGTTTATTTCAGCTTTACTGTCCACAAAATTACAATTTTCTTCTTGTAGAAAAACAACTGGAAAAAATGGTAGCAGAGGTAGAAAATACCAGAAGATATATTTTAACTCAATGTGCTTAGTGTTTAAATACAGACGTTGTGAGCTGCTGTGCCACGTTAGAAATGAGATATTTCCCAATAACTATAAGGTTAACAAAACCTGGAACACAGCATTAACTTTGTGAATCTGGAGCAGCAAGAACGTCTCAAAAGTCACGGTAACTGGCAGCTGATCCGTGCACTCATGTTCACTGATTGTTTCGTGCACGTGTATTTGACTGTTTGTATGTGCAGAATATTCCTACTTGTGCAAATTGAAATGTAAAACTTGTGGATCTTATTGTTTGTATACAAATCTTGTTGTTTGCTTGTGTGGCTCCTTTTGACACTGATTTTTCTTCATACATGTGCTGCAGAACCGGGACCACTCTGTCACGTGTGGAGTCCTTCTCTCTGTTTGGGTTCCTGTGTCAGACGGTGTTAAAGGGACAGAACCAACACCAGGGGTTTGAAATCACCGCTCCTGTAACAGAAACCGAATAAATCGTGTGTGCGAGCTCTGTCAGCAGAACATCTTAGAACAGAGATTAAATAAAGAGTTGGACTTTCCATGAGTGAACAGCTGTTTTCACATCTTTAACTTTTTATCACTGGTTGACATGGAGGAGTTCACATGACGTTGAACTTAGTCTAAACTTTTCAACGGTTTCTCCACTTCTTCTACAGGTTTGTTCTGCTGGAGGACTGAAGGGTTCCTCCCAGAGGTCAATGGTCACACACCCAAACTCCCCATTGACTTCCATTGTATCTGAGCTCAGAGTTTTCTCTTCAAACAGGAAGTGGAGGCTCTTTTTAACTTGTACATCCTCCATCAAAACCAGTAGAACCATCAAACATAATATTACTGAGCATGGACTTTTTTGGTATCAAACAGAACCTGACACCTGTGGTACCATCGGAACCTTCTGCTGCTCACAGGTCAAGAAGTTTTTTGACTTTTCATCTTTGACACAGACTATCTGTGGCTCACTGTTTACTCTGTGGTGGGAACCAGTAAGCCCACAATTCTGGGTCTTCTGTATTACCCAGCATGCTTTTCTTCCTTCTCTGTTTCCATCATGGCTGCCCCCTAGATCCTGTATCTTTGAGGTTCAGGAGGATTCATTCAGAGGGTTGACAGAAAATAGGAAGTGGGTCATCAGAAAACAGGAAGTGGCTCAGTAAGAACCAGGAAGTGGCAGTTTTAGGTATAGTTTTGAGCAGCGTTCGGTCCAGCCCTTGGGTAAAAAGGTTCTGGTTCCTGCCTGAATGATGTTGATGAGTTTCATGTTAGAAAATAACTGTTTCCTGTTTGTTGGGGGGGCTTTAGACCTGCATGTGTGAGGTCAGAACTGGGTCAGGGTTTCTGTTGGTATTACTGCCGGCTGCCGCCTCGTCTCTAAACAAAACCTGGGTGTTGATAAAAATGTCTGATGAATGATTATTATTGATTGTGACTTTTATTTGTCTTTGGAAATCAATCAATCAAGATATCTATCCATTTTCTCCAATCATTTACTTTTCTTTCCATGTCGCTGTTCTCTGTCTCCAGCAGTCACTGTGAGAGAAAGAGACACTGGGACTGGTCTCAAGTCCATCACGAGACACCTGGACTGGTCTCAAGTCCATCACAGGGACACCTGGACTGGTCTCAAGTCTATAACGAGACACCTGGACTGGTCTCAAGTCCATCACGGGGACACCTGGACTGGTCTCAAGTCCATAACGAGACACCTGGACTGGTCTCAAGTCCATCACAGGGACACCTGGACTGGTCTCAAGTCCACCACGAGACACCTGGACTGGTCTCAAGTCTATCACGAGACA